GTTCATCTTCTTTCTTTCAACAACCATGGCAGAATCCTCTTCCGTCCAAGAACATACTACTACTTCATCACTTCTGACCATCAAACCTAATCAGATTCTGATTATCGATCTGAATCCATTTGTCTATGAATCCTACATGCTTCATGTGGTCGAATTTATGAAGTATTCCCCACTGGTGGTTGCGCTCACTCAAGTTGAGTCTGTTCTAATGTCTCTACTCTCACAGGTCTATTCCACCGCCTCTTATGACAAACGCAAGGAACTGATCTTATTTTAAATCTTCAATCACAAGACATCAGTCTCAAAAGCTCGTTTCTGTTCTCTGCTACAGCTTGCTTCAGATGCTTCTGTTATCGCTCCAGATTTCATCACTACAACTCAGCTCTTCACTATGCTCTATGATATGGGGTACACTGATGTCCTCACCACAGTGACTATGTTCAAGAAGTCCTGCTTACCACCGCAATGGAATGGTCTTTTCACACTCATCTTCAAGGGATTAGCTGAACGAGTCGCTGGATCAGATGGTGCCAGTAAAGGCTTCATGACCATTATGTATGGTCTCTATCATGTCATCAATCTGGACTATGGCTCTCTGATATGGTCTCAGTTGGTGCAGAGTCTCAACTCATCGTCCAAACACTCAGAAATCTCATGTGGACGCTTCTGGACTCTGGTAACTCGCCGGGCAATCGAGCATTATCAAGTTCCGGTTATGGCGGATGCAATGCTGTCTTCAATCGCCACCTTTCACACGACAAAAATCATTGTTTTTTATTCCACCAAGTTATTGTTCAACGGGACAATTCCTGAAATGATGTCCCGCTGTGTTTCAAGTGCGAGTCGTGTTATGGCCGATTATCGTAAGCTGACACCTTCAGGGCCACAACCACTTACTCCAGAGATGCAGTCTGCTTTGGATGCTGTTGGGAAACCAGCTAAGAGGGGGAAGAAGCAGGAGTCAAAGAAAACAAAGACCGAAGGTCCATCATCTCCTGCTGAGACAACCAAAAACCGTAAAGCTGACAAAGCAGTTCCTTCCTCTCTGAAAAAGAAAAAGGTCAAGAAAATGGCAAGAAAACTGAAGGAGTCTTCGCCTGCTAACTCAGATGAGGAAGAGGAGGTTCACGTTGAAGGACTACAAAGGGGAACCACACCTCCACGATCTCCAACTCCTGAGGTACAACCTCATGTTTCGGTTCCTACTCCTCCTCCTATTACAACACCAATTTCTGTTGCTCCAATACCACCACCTGTCTCTTCTCAACCTACTATCGCTGCTCCACTTCCACCTCTAATATTTTCTCAAACTACAACAACCACTACAACCGAACCTACGGTTCATGTCAACGTATCTGATACGGGGGCACCTACCGGAGACATCGAAACCCCTGTTACCACCAAACCTCTTTCACCATCTCTTTCCATAGATTCTGCACCTATTCTTAGTGGTGATAACTTTGATTTTGACTCTACCTACTATAGTCCTTATCGACTTCCAAGTGAAGATGATGATGATGCTCCAGTGACAAGGCACCATTTAAAGAGTCTTAATGATAAGCTTGACAAATTAATTGCTACCCCGACAACTTATTCTAATGTGGTTTTAAAGGCTTTTCTCGACACAACTCTTCAGCAATATACAGCCTCAATTGACAAATCTACAAAGGTTGTGGATGCCTGCACATCTTCCTACAAGAAAGCAACAACCAAAGTGGCAGATCTTATTCATGATTCGAAGATTTTCTTAGACTCGTTCAAAGGCCATGCTGACTCCAATGTTGCCAAAGTCAATGCTTCGGTTGATTCTCTCTCAAAGTCACTTCAAGAAGAGAAAGCGAAGTTTGACTCCATTCGATCGGAAATCAAATCATATCACACTTATCTTATTTCTTCTGTCAATACTCGCCTTGATAAGCTTCAGGCTGATCTTGCTACAGAAAACAAGATAATGGATGAACTAGCTAGCAAAACTACAACGATTGAAGTCCAAATTGTTCAACTTGATCAGGCAAAGAAGGAAATTGACTCACTAAAAACTGAGTGTGTTGTACTTAGGAGTTGTGCTGGTGATGTTCTCTCCATTCTGGCTACTCTTGTCAATGCCCACGATCCGGTTCTCACTCTTACCATCCGGAATCATTTAACTGCAAAACTACTCCCATCAATTGAAATCCTGAATCAGATGAAGGGTGTTATGGAGCCGACTGTCACTCCACAACAAGGGGGAGAAGGTGTTCAACATCCTCCTATTCCACCTAAAGTTGTTATCAAATCTCAACCCAAAGAACCGAAGGTTAATGCAGCTTCGGGTTCTGACGGACAAGAAAAACTGAAGGGTGTTTTAGATGAGAGTGGTGAGGAAGATGAAACGATTGCAGATGCCTTGAAAAGAAAGAAAAGGGATAAATAAATCGATGATAATCTCTGAATAGCCAGACAAGAAGAAGAGAAAGAACGTAAGCAAAAAGAAGAACAAGATGAGCTGATCTGCAAAAAGGCTCTCTTTCCCCCTTGGACTCAGGAACAATTAATTAAAGATGCGATTGAGTCCCTAAGCACTCACTGGTTGGAACCGGTTGCCTCATTCGAGTGTGTTAATACGAAGGACTCTCAGTTTGATATGCCTATTACCTGCAGGGTATTCGTGTTTCATTGTTTTGATTCAACAGTTGAAGTTCCTACTCCTCATCCACAGGTTGATCAAGATCTTATTAACTATTATCTTGAATTCGCTCAACCTCAATACTTGACATGGAGTGCATAGAAAATAACTTTTGTCAAGGTATTGAAACCCTCTGCTGCTGGAAAGTTTCTCAATGTTCAATTCAGGTTGACCCGAGGTTCAGATAACTCGGTTCATATGATTCCTTTAGATGATCTTCCAAACCTAAATCCACATGATTGGATTTTGTTGTTCAACATTTTGCTTACCAATCAAGAGCAGTATGTGCCGATTCTCGATCATATCAAAAAGATGTTAGCTTCCTACATCCATGAAGTTGCTAAAATGGATCAGGAGATTGCAAATGTTTTAAGGAAGAAGCCGATAGTGAAGCCCATTGGGAAGCCGAGTGATCTTAATAAAATGAAGATGGGCAAGATTGATCCAACACATCATACTGTTATTTTTACAAGAGGCGAAGGTGAAAAATTCCTTTTCGCTCTTGTCGACAAGCACCTGTTCTCCACAACTTGTTTGGAGCATGTTCTTGAAATAACTCACAGTCGTAAACATAACAGTGTTTCGAATAAGAAGAACTTCTCAGACATGCTTCGGTGGTATATTGCTTTTCGTCAAACTCTATTGGCCATTATATCGAAGGTGTTCAAGACAGTGAAGAAGTCTGTTGTCACTCAACGGAACTGATCTCTCTCGCATCAATTGACGCAAAGGGGGAGATTATTGAGTTTATGAGAGTTGTGTCATTGGGCCTAACGCTTTTGTCTATTTTGTATACCCGATTTGGGGCTGTCCAACCGTGGATTATTATTAGGGTTAGCTTATATATAGTGCATGCATGTATAGCCTTAAGGGGTAACGATACTTATTATTTGTTGCATTGTAAGCCTAGACACCTCTACAGTCGAAGTTCTTAATCGAGCTCTTCTGAGGTGTTGAATATTAATCATTCGACATTATTTGATCCATTCTTGTGTTCTTTGCTTCATTATTATTAATTGTCTGTTTAGAATCTATCGATCTTATTAGTACATTATTCTCATCAGGGAGACCTTCAGTAGTACCATGTCGCCGACCTGAAATTCCAACTCCAATCGGCGCCAGTCGACATAACTCTTCTGCCGACTCTGAGTCGTCTGCAGTTTCTGCTTGAGACGCTGAATAAGCTTTGTGGTCTGAAGGACTACCTCAGTCCTTCCCATGACTCTGTGACCAACCTCCCCCCAACAAACTAGGGTACGACATCTCCGACCATACAGGAGCTCATAAGGCGGGGCACTAATTCTGGAGTGGGAGATTTATCCCCATTCCATAAAATTTACACGCTTAATCCTTTACAAGTCTGAAGCCAATAAAACCTCATTTGGTTAAATTTCACGTTTCATCCTCCGTTAGTTTAAATTTACACGCTTGATCCTTTGCGAGACATAAAATGACTATAATGTTCTTGGCAGTTTTATTTTTCATTTATTTTTATCATTTCTGATGATTTTTAATTATTAAAAATATTTTAAATAAAATTATAGGTCCACCTAATATCTCCCTGTCTCTTCTCTCTCCCTCACTCACACACATACATCCACTTTTTCTCTTTTACTAAAGAATACTTAACCACCACCACGATCACCAAAAATCTACATCGCCAACAGAAACCCTCACCTCACTCCACTTCACTCCCCGATACAAAGCTCAAGACCACCACCCTCTTTCCATCAAGCCACCCGTTTCACCTCCTCCTTATGCCACATGTTTCCGGGAAAAGAACCATAAACCACCACCTCCTTCACCATCACTACCCTCTTGTACAAACACAAGCCAAAAAATAATCATGAACCTCCATTAACCACCTAACAGCAACATCATCACCTCCAACAGCCTCCACCGAAAAACCCCCACATGTGATCACTTCAAACATTAGCTGTAGATCCTCGACCCACCACCATTACCACCAAAATACCACCACCCTCTAAGGTGATGTTCCATACCTCGCAGGTACATCCATGAGAGAGTTGTAGACGAATTTTTGATTTGGAGGATCGCCATCATCACAGCCTTTGGTGAAACCACCAACATCACCTTAATCATCACCACAGTCTCTGGTGGAACCACCAACTCTGCAATCACCATCACCATTGTCCGTTGTTCGACAATTTATTACACCATAACCTGCAACTCATTGTCTTTCTTCACTTCATTGAGATAAATAAACCCCAAATTAGAGAGGGGGTTCTCTAATCTTGATTTGTAGTGAACTAGAATCGGGAAAGAGAGGTTTAGGTTCAACTTCAGGTGGTCTGCTTTGAAATGTAGAGCAATCATGGACATGGCTTCAACTCCTAAACAAGAAACAAACTCGAAGAAGATGACAATGACTTCGAAATGTGCTGCCATCGATGAACCATCTAGGGTTCGTCATCACCTAAATCATCGTCACCCACACCTGTCTGTACCTCATATTCGTTGTATTTCAAACGGAGATGGAGGTGGATCTATGGTTTTGAACGGGGATGTAGGCGAAAATAAAAAAGAAATCATCATAAAAATTGCAAAAATGGTCCCTATGGTTTGCCAATTTTTTTGGGTAAGGTTCAAAAAAAAGTTTATTAGCAAAAAATGTCCTTATTTGGTAGTTTAGCTGTGGTTTTGGTCCATATTTCGTTAACTTTAACATTTGCCTGTTAACTTTTTTATAATGACAATTTTACCCTCATGGACCATTTTTGCAGTTATCTCTTTTTACCAAATTACAAGGACCATTTATGTAATTCTTCTTTTTAAATTTAATGAATTATTATATATTAATTCTTCTTTCTTTTTAATTTTATTGAACTATTATACATTAATTTTTAAATTTTTTTTTTATTGGATTAATTTTTTATCTGATTATTATATATCAGTTAATTTTATTTTTAATATATAATATTTATATATTAATAAATATTATATTATTATATTATTAATCTCTTTTAACTATTTTTCAAAAAAAAAATTATTGAATTATTTTTTTTAATATTAGATTTTTTTCTTGTGTTATTACATTTAATTTATTATATTCCACATATAACAAATAATTTAGTGGATCATTTTTTAAATGTATAATATTAATTCTTTTTAATTTTCTGGTTCTACCTCAAAGTCTTCGGAATACGCAAAAGCATTGCATCCCATTGTCGAAAATCGTCAGGACCAACGCTAATCACCTTCATCGGAGTTCCGACGGAAACACTACCAACCTATTTCACCCAACGCCGCTATCCAGTAGACACCTGCGACAACCTCTTCACAATCCGTCAGAATCCTTTATATTTGCCACCAAGTAACTATCACTATTTGAACCACCAAGAAGTCCAACCCAAACACCCCTATGAGTTCCTCCATTTGTTGCCTTTTTACTAGCTTACCCCACAAAATCATACTACCTGGTTAGTTCCTCCATTCGTTGCCTTCCACAACCTATGCACAATCTTATAACATCGAAGCTTCAAGTCGGTCGTTTTCTGTTACAATCAATATTGTGTTTAGGAGGTCCGATCCAAACACCGATGGTCAGTTCCTTTATTCGTTACTTTCTACCACCTTTCGCCGCCACATCATCTTGTCAGAAATCGTCGATCGTTGCCTACAATCCGTCATTCTCAACTAAAACTACACTAATTGACTACCCACACTGCCGTCAATAGTGACAATGTTAGATATAGGGTTTTCAAACCATCAGATCCACCGCTAGATCTTTTCAGGTAGTGCAGGCTTAAAGCTTCGATGTTATAAGGTTGTGCATGGGTTGTGGAAGGCAAAGAATGAAGGAACTAACCAGGTAGTATGGTTTTGTGGCGTAATCTGGTAAAAGGCAACAAATGGAGGAACTGACAGGGGTGTTTGGGTTGGATTTCTTGGTGGTTCAAATAATGATGGTTCTAGTGGAAAACGATCAGTTTAGTGGCAAATATAAAGAATTCTGACGGATTGTGAAGAGATTGTAGCAGGGTGGCTATTGGATAGCGGTGTTGGGTGAAACAGGTTGGTATGGTTTCCGTTGGACCTCCGATGAAGGTGATTAGCGGTGGTCCCGATAATTTTCGACAATGTGATGCGGTGCTTCTGCGTATTCCGAAGACTTTGTGGTAGAACCAATAAATTAAAAAGAATTAAATTATACATTTAAAAAAAATTAACGATCCACTAAAATATTATTTATTATATATAGAATATAATAAATTAAATGTAATAATACAATAAAAAATCTAATAAATACATTTTTTTAAATAACCCAATAATTTTTTTTAAAAATAGTTAAAAGAAATTAATAATATAATAATATAATATTTATTAATATATAAATATTATATATTAAAAATAAAATTAACCAGTGTGGTAGTCAGATAAAAAATTAATCTAATAAAAATAAAATTGAAAAAAGAATTAATGTATAATAGTTAAATAAAATTAAAAAGAAAGAGTGATCAATATATAATAATTCAATAAATTTAACAAGAAGAATTGCATAAACGGTCTTTGTAATTTGGTAAAAAGAGATAACTGTAAAAATAGTCATCGAAGGTAAAATTGTCATTTTAAAAAAGTTAACAACCAAATATTAAAGTTAATGAAATAGAGACCAACACCAAAGCTAAACTACTAAAGATTTTTTTTTTGCTAATAAACTTATTTTTGGACTTTATCCAAAAAAATTGGCAAACCACAAGGACCATTTTTGCAATTTTGCCTCATTATAAATTAGGAAAGGGGTTAGGGTGTTTTTGGGTAGAGATATTTTTTTCTTTTTTTAATCTAAAAAATAAAAAATAATAAAAGAAAATTAAAAAAAAATTATTAAGAGCAAAATAATTAGTTTATATCCACAAGGATGACCCAGTAAAAAAATAATAATACACGGACATTTATAATTAATTTTAAAAAATATAGATCGAACGGAAAATTTAACATTTGAACCATTAGTTGAACCATGAAGGAATCTTATAATTTACTGGTTTGATTATATTACTCCATTTCCCACTTTTAAATATCATTTTAAAAATTATTAAATATTTTACTCCGTCTTAATATTTCAATTAATCAGCCCATAATAACCTAGTAAAACATAGGAGTATCTTTCATTATTGATTTGGACGACAGTATATGGATTAAATAATACTTAACAACCCGGAGTAAATGAGAAAGAAACAAAACGCGTGTAACTAGGAAAGCCCACCCGATAAGTCACTTTGTCTGTTTTTCTCTCTCTAAGATCCCATCGCCATCGCCATCTTGCTCTGCAACTTATTTGTTGATTTCGTCGCTCCCCGCACAATAACAACTTCGCAAAGTTTACAAGAAAAAAATATACAAATCTATTAGGAAGCCGACAGATGTCTGGAAGTCTTTGATTTAATTGCTAATAGCTATTCAAAGTTCCAATTGAGATCGGAATGAGAAGATTACACTGTTATTTTTGCTGATTCAGATGGCGTTCAACCTTCATCATAGTCGTCATTTCATTACTTTATCCTATCTGTTTTTGTTGTTATGCTCTTGTTTCTCGAGCATTTTCTGTAGCAGCGATAATGATTTCCCTCCTGTTACGCCTATCAATCGTGATCTCTACCGCACTAGGTAAACTCAGTAGTCTCCAAATACTTATAGATTTGATATTGATTTCACTCGTTTTCGCGTTGTAATCTGTCTAATTTGATTTCGTGGTGCTGAATTTATTTTTATCTCATTTTCTATAACTTTTTGTTTGATTATAGAGGGATGTGATCTCATACTAAAAACGGTAGTCAGGGATCTGTTTTTGTAACCGTTAGAAAGTGTTAAAATAGAGGCAATTTGATCTGTATGTCAAAATGGTTTATGTGACTTAAAGATTTTGGGAGAATTTATTTGATAATTGGTTCCTTACATCAGAAATTGGAAATTATTGGTATTAAAATGCACATTTTACATTTGTTGTTTCAGCTTCCCAATATAGATCTATTTTTCATTCCCTGGTCATGGATTACTCTCGTAAACAAGGCAAAGTAAGCAAACCAAGAACAATACATTAAGTTAATGCACTAGTATTACTGATTAGAGTGCTTGCAAGAAGAGAAAACTACACAAGTATAGAATAATTAGTTGATTACAAATTAAAATGGAAGGATCTATATCTATACATGAGTGGTGTTCTTGCAATAACATAAATAAACACTATTTCTTGATCATTTACAATCACACAACTCGTACTTTTAGATCCTTCTAGCATCTTCTTACTCTCTCTTGAAAGTTCTTGATTCACATAGAACTTTCTGGAATTTTGAGTCGACCTTCTTGTTTATAAACCTTTTCATCGTGTTGCTTCTTTTTTTTAGTGACGCCTTAATGGAAGAGATAGAAGCATTGGTTAATCGACACCAAGATAGACTCCATGTAGGTGTACTTTGGATCTTTCTTTTTTTTTTCTTTGTCTCCTGCTATTTGTTGTACTATATATTATGCTCATTTGATTCCATAATTTTTCAACAGATGGAGACATTTCAAAGTACAAATAAAGGCTACCATGCTGAACTAAATGTAGTTACATATTGCCGGAATAGAACAGCCATTGAAGACAAATCAAAGTTTAGAATACTTCTTGTGAGTTCTTTCTTTCTCTTCAAACTGTTGCATCAAATGAAAGGAAAAAAATTTGAAGAAAGTAACTTTTTTTTTTTGCCATGTATTGTCTCATATTGTGATATTGCTGATTTTTTTTGACAGATGATTACTTGTCTTCCAGAGTTTTGGGCAGCATGCACGGGAGCTTATTACAACCGAGCTTGCATTAAGGATCCTCTCCATCTTAAGTGAGGAGCAATTTTTACCTAAAATGGATCCACTGTTGCTGAACAAGACCCTTGAGAAGATTGTTATAAAGGTCATCTCTTTCATATTGTATGCTTCTTAAAGTTATCTCTTTATCATTACATGAAAAAAAAAACATACAAAATTAATGATCAAATTAAGCTCATGATATTAACACACATATAGCAATCTCTCAGGTGGTGCCAATGGAAAATCTAAATGGACGCAAAAAAGTCGAAGCAGGAGATGTTTGTGAGAGAAGAAATGGTCTCATTTTTTATTTTTTTTTTAAATTTCCTTACTTGAAAATAAATGTGATATTTCTTGATTTCATGACTGTTTGTTTCTTTGCAGGAAGAGGAGTTGATCTCAATCGGAATTGGAGTGTAGATTGGGGGAAAAAAGAGAAGGTTAGTGACTAAAAAGAGGGAAAATACGTGTAACTTTCACTCTCTTTTATAGCTACTTAACTATTTTCTATAGTCATCAAAACATTTCACTTTTTTCAACCCTTTAAAATAACTATTTCCCTGGTTTTGATTTCAGGTTAAAATACAAAAAAGAACCTTCTTTCACTATTTTATCAATTTAGCCATTGAACTATTACTTTTTATCGATTAAGTCACTTAACTATTTTCTGTTGTGATAAAAATATAATACCTTTTATACTGTATTAAAAAAAAATCCTGTTATTAGGGGATCATACCTATATATAGAAAAGCACAACATACTTTCACCATTTTATCGATTTAGAGACTCAACTATATTTTTTATCGATTTAGCCACCGAACTATATGATAATATGACTAAATTACAGAATTGGTCCATGTGGTTGGCATGATTTTGCAGTTTTAGTCCTAGTTTCTCGATTTTTTCAAAAACGGTCCCTATTTCAGGTTTGGATTTCCCCTTCAGTCCCGGGCTCTGTTACCATTTAACCAGCTTCTGTTATCTACATATGAAATGCTATTTTGTACTTTAACCTTTTTGAGAAAAATGTTTTTTTTAATGTTAAAAAAAAATAAGTATAGAAAAGGGTTAAGTTACCAATAAAATGGTGAAAGTAGGTGGCTTTTTTTAGATTGTTTTGTTCTCCATCTCTACATTTTGTATAGCAATAATACCAGTTTTGTAGGTATGTTATGTAAATGTTACATATAACATACCTTGGCTTGTTGTTTATTATTATTATATGTTTCAGGACTTTGATCCTTATGAAGAGAATCCTGGAATTGGCCCATTTAGTGAACCTGAAGCTCAGCTAATGCGAAAGCTCTCAACATCATTTGAACCACATATTTGGGTCAATGTACATTCCGGAATGGAGGTGAGCACTAATCTTTGTTTCTCTTCCCAAAATACCCCTCATTGCCCCCTTTTGTTTCTGGCTTCAAACTGCAGTAATTACTTATTTGATGTTAAATCTTTCGATGTTGCATAATATTACAAGATTAATTCCATTCCATGTCCTAAATTAATTGTTAATCAGTCATTCATTCATTGTTTTTTTTTACATATATATATTTCCATATGATTAGTTTTATATATAATTTTTTATAGGCTCTTTTTATGCCATATGATCACAAAAACACAACTCCATCTGGAGTAGAATCACAGAAAATGAGGTTGATGCTTGAAACATTAAACCACCTTCATTGTGGAGACCGTTGTGTGGTTGGATCTGGTGGTGGATCTGTTGGGTAAGTATTATTATTATTTATAATATATGTTAGACTCTAAATTCAAAAATATGGATTTTTTCAATAAGAAAAAAGTTTAAAATACAATGTTGTTAATTTTAAACAGAAATAAGTGAAAGTAGGTTGGTATTTAAACAGGTATCTGGCACATGGTACAACTACGGATTACATGTTTGATGTGGCAAAGGTTCCCATGGCTTTCACCTTCGAGGTTTGTATATAAAAATAAAAATAAAATTATTTTTTTGCAATTTGGCTGTTTAACCATTTATATGTTTTTTCAATCAAACCATAAAAGTTCCATTCAGTTTAACCATTTTTTGACATGATATAACAGGTCATAATGGTTAATTTGGAAAAATGTTTGAAACTTTTATGGTTTGAATGGGAAAAATTGAAGTATTAGGGGTTAAACTGCAAAACTGCCCAAAATATAATGGTTTTCCTGTAAATTTCCCTCCCTTATTTTCAACTCAATTTGTTGACTTGCCAGATTTATGGAGATGAAAAAGCATCTTCCAGAGATTGCTTCAAAATGTTCAACCCTGTGGATCATCCCACATTTAATGTAAGTGAAATAAATTTAATCATATCCATTTTGTATTCTTTTCAATGGATTACACAGTAATTTTCTCAAAGTTTTTTATCTTATAGCCATTGAATAGCAATGGCATTGTATTTTCAGTTTTTCTCTGATTGAATTCAATTTTAAAAGTATAATGTTTTAATGCTATTTCAAATTACTGAATCTACATTTTTTTTTATTTTTTTGACTCCAGAGAGTTCTGAACGAATGGTCAGCCACATTCTTTACAATGTTCAACATGGGAGCACATCAAATGAAAGATCCACAAGAATCAACCCCATTTAATATGGACCATTTGATCTCAATAGATGATTATTTAAACGGATATTTAATCGAGAGAAAAAATAGATATGGTGAAAAGAAGGAATTTCTGGACCTTGGTTTGCAAGAGATCCGAACATATTTCAGGCTCTTTTTGCTGTCTTCGGTCATGTTAATGTTCATGTTTTGTTCTAGAATTGCAAAGAGTAATAGATCACATTTGCCTTCAATTTCTCTATGAAATTGAATAAAAAGGTGTGTATTGTTTTAGTTATTTGTTACGAGTTTTCTCATTGATTCAAGGTTTCTAGCTTCTTTTTTTTTTTTTTTTTTTTTTTTTTTTTTTTAATGTAACGGGGAGATTGGGTTGGTATATTAGTGTGATTTTGTGTAACATTATTGACATGTCATGAACGATGATTTGTTTGTTATTTATTTGTGCACTAATAGAAAAATGAAGGTTTTTGTCTTTTTGATATGTATCCCATTTTTGCATTTTATAAGTTGATGGCGTTGGATGTATGATCAATGCAGATGAGGCAACCATATGTGTCTAATGCAATTGCAACTGCGTATATACTTTGTATGTGCGGTAGTGCTCTTTTTGTAGCTTAATTGATTTGATGGAGATAAAAAGGTAAAATGGTCATTTATCTTTGTAATACTTAATAGGAAGAACATGGCTTTAGTTTAATAAGTTGTAAGCAATATATTGATGTTTTTAATGCAAAATAACAAATTAATTGAGATGGTTTGGAACAGAACGTTTTTTTTCACTAAACTCTTTATAATTTGAGTTTAATTCTCCAAGTTTGTACTGATTTTCTCAAATGTTTTTATATCACTTGTCTTGACGCCCATCTTCCAATTTTGAAAATTCAACATATTTTGGGCTTTTGGTTCATGTTTAAAGTCTTTTATACGTAAACTAAACAATTCTTTTCATATTAAACATCGAGCCTAGAAAGTAAAATATGTTAAACCCTTTCTTTTGTTCCTTCGATTTGCATGCAAATTGAAAGAAAGAAAGACTTTCTTCTTCAGATCAACTTCTTCATACGATATATATATATATATATATATATATATATATATATATATATATATATATATATATATATATATATATATATATATATATACACACACACACACACAGAGAGAGATGATCATTTGAGAACTCATAGTTTCCCGAGAACCCGAGAACTAAAAGTGGAGCGTTGGATCAAAAAAATGGATGATCAAGATGCACCGTGACATTTTTGTAAATAAGTTGAAAAATAAAGGACGGGAGCATCAGAATTAAATGGAATCAGGGGCATTTTGGGGTTATAGAAATTGACTCGTACACATATGTCTCCTATCACCATTCCTTATCAGATCTCTCTCTCTCTCTCTCTCTCTCTCTCTCTCTCTCTCTCTCTCTCTCTCCACCGTATCTCTTCCCCTCGTCTCCATCCTCCCTCAATCGGTCCACCTCTATGTCCGTCGACAATGAACGTCGGCTACCAATCAACAATCTTTCATATCCAGATCATCGGTGAAGAATTTACGAACCTATAGATCGACAATGTTCGTGTTCATCTTTCGATTGCGATATTTGAAGCCCTAAATCGCCCGATTCATGATCATCTATTCATCGAGATCGATCAACAATAATCTCTCAAGTTTTTGTAAGCATCAATTTGTCATCATTGATCAGCTCCTGGGATCAAAAAGTCAAGCATATGACCATGGAAATTCATTTAGGTATCGATTCGTCATAAATTGGAAGTATTCTTCTGGCTCACTCTCCATCCTCCAATCTCCCTGATTATTTTTAACCATTAACTTTGTAACACCCCGAGTTCAGAAGTGCAAGTTCAGGGTCCTTAGTGTAAATAAGGAAGGTCGACTCAGCGAGTCGATGGATAGACTCGGCGAGTCGAGTCGCGATTCTGGTCATGTGTTAAGTGACCAACTCGGCGAGTCGGAAGTGGACTCGGCGAGTTGGTGCTGAAGGGAGAAAACCTAATTCCGGGAGTTGTGCCCTATATAAAGCACATTATAGCCACCCTCAGCCTCTTTACTTCCCATTTGAGTTCCAGAAACCCTAATTAGTGTGTGTGAGCCTCCATTGTTAAAGTTTGAGCTTGGAAGAAGAATTTAAGAGGAGAAAGTTAGGAGATCAAGAGGCTAGCATCGGGAGATCATTGTAGATCCGGAATCTACTCCTTCTTGGGCACATTTCTGAGGTAACAAGTCGTTACCTTGAGTTTTCTCCTTCTAGATCCATTCTTTGTTGTTGTTTTGGGAATTTTAGCTTGATTGGAATCTATTTCGGGTTTAGAGGTTAGATCTGAAGTTGCAACTTCAGATCTAGGTTAATAGTGAGCCATGGAAGCTTAAAGCATCAGCCATGGGGCTTTATTTAGAGTATCTATGTCCCAAAACCTCCTTGTAGCTTGATTAGAGCTTGTTGAGCCTTGCATGCACGTAAAGTTGGAAACTTTACGTGTGAATCTGGCCCTAGGAGTCCAGATCTATGTATTGGAAGCAATGAAATGGCCTGAAATCGTCTGAATGAAGATGTCATGTTTTGGACTCGGTGAGTGGAAGAACAACTCGGCGAGTCTGTTGAAGATTGCCTTGGACTCGGCGAGTCTCTTCTTGGACTCGGTGAGTCTGGTCGTGGAACCCTAACCTTTTCTGGTTAAGCCTCGAATCGGTGAGTCGAGGGACGACTCTGTGAGTTAAACAGGATGGGACTCTGAGATTGTTGAACTCGACGAGTCTTGGGGCGACTCGGCGAGTTGAGTCGTATGATGGGAGTTTCTGAGTAAAGGAACTCGACGAGTCGACGGGTTGACTCGGCGAGTAGGGTCAACCAGGAAGGTTGACTTTGACTGAGGACTTTAACTTTGACCAAGGGTTGACCAGTTTGACTTCCAAGGGTATTTTGGTAATTATTGGTATTTATTGGATTTGGTTAATTGGTAGTGTTCAGTGGTGGAGTTTGTGTCGGTGGTCGGAGCAGCGTGATCTTACCTTTTCAGTCAGCTACAGCAGGTGAGTTATCCTCACTATATCAACAGGGTCTAAGGCACCAAGGCCGACCCTTTATCGGATGGAAATCCGGATAGTTGTTATTATGTTATTGTTTTGCTATGTCTGCATCCCAGTAGTTAGGATGGTATATGTTAGGGACCTGGTGAAGGTCGGTATCCTGGTATATAGGATGATGCTATGCTAGCGACCGGTTAGGTCGGTATCCTGGTTAGGATGTTGCTATGTTATGTGATATGCTGGATCGGTTTGATTAGTTGTGTGATGTTATATGATTATATGTTTATGTGCCCAAGGTTGTTGGACTGGGGTTGGGTTGAGGCAGGTCCTGCTTTGTGCTGTAGGCCAACATACCCAGGGCAGACCGATTAGACCGAAGGCCCGGCGAGCGGTCCGGATAGGCTGAAGGCCCAAGAGGGCGGACCAGACATGCCGAGGCTCGGAGAGTGGACTAGACAGACTGAAGGCCTGATGCGGGCGGACCAGTCATACTATAGACTCAGAGAGTGGACCAGGTGGGCTGAAGGCCCGGTGCAGGCGGACCAGTCATACTGTAGACTCGGAGAGAGAGAGGACCGGGTGGACTGAAGGCCTGGTGCAGGTGGACCATTCACACTGTAGACTCGATATGCATGGCTGTTCTGTTTATGATATGATATGTGTATGGTATTGTGGTTGGTATTTTGGGGGTAACTCACTAATCTTTCGGGCTTACAGTTTCAGTGTATTGTTTCAGGTACTTCAGGAGACCGTGGCAAGGCGAAGGCGTGATCGTACCGCTCCTCTGTTTTATGTTGATGTTTCTGGGATGCTCTGATAATAAATGAGTTGGAAACCTTTTTGTAATAACTTAATGAATATGGGTTGTTTTTGAAAAGTTTAAATTGGTTGTAAATTTTCACGGTGTTACAAACTTCTAATTAATTACATACAGATTACATACCTTCCTATTTACACTAAAAGTAACCAAATCTCTCTTCATTGTCGTCTTCCACTACAATGGGCTAATATCATCGCTCTCTTGTATATCTGGAACTGAAGTTGTCGTCTTCAATCGCTGCCTCTCGCCCTTCCCTATTGATTAAAGATATCAAAATCTGATTGACAACCCTGTCGACTACAAAAGGAGGTTTGGATACTTTAAGGCTACCGATTCTCCTCTTCCGGTGATGATATATGGTCCACTAGCATGGCCTAGACAGCTCCGGCGCGCCAGCCTCGCCTGGCGCTCCCTTGCCAGCCTTGCTGGGGACTCTCCCGCCGGCCCGGCCTGGCTCTCCCTTGCCAACCCTGCTGGGGACTCTCCTGCCGGCCTAGCCTGGCGCTCCCTGGCTTGGCGCTCCCTTGCCAACCTTTCCTGGTGCGCGCCCGCCAGCCTTGCCTGGGGGGCGCCCGCCAGCCTCGCCCGACGCTTCCGGGCGGCCTTGCCCAGCTCCTTGCTAGTTGGGCCTGAACTGGGCTGGCCCAAGGCCTGACCTAATTGTACCCTATATAATGAAAAGTACCTCCTCCATGGAGAGGGATCCTTCCCTTTGGCTCAGCCGCCACCCTAGACCCCGGCCAGGTGGCTCCGCCACCACCCGACGCCGTCAGCTACCATACACCACCACTAGCACCAAGATGGTTCTCTCCAGCTATGGAGGACCATCTCAGATCTTCTAGCTGATCTAACTTGACCGTCGGAGCCCGCTCCCGGGGGCACAGTCCCCTGGGTCGGCTCTAACGACTTTGCACTGTGATGTCAGATCTCCGCCGCAGTAGAAGACCAGAAGACTCGCTGGGGATCCATGTCGCATCATCCGGTAAGTTTTTCGGCGATAATTTGTTGTTTCAATCGTTCATTTTTGCTTGTTTGTGAGTTTTCCGTCGGTCGAGGTTGAATTTTGGGATTGAGGTTTGTTTTCTTCGTAGAAATTGACGGTGTTGCGCGTTAATCGTATGAACTTCTATTCTCTGTTCTTCACTACCAAAATTGCATCTCATTAGACAAGTTAATTTTTACTCATTGTATCTGATTTGTTTTCTGTTTTAACATATATTTATGTATGTTTTAGGTTGCATAATTTTGGGATTGAGTTTAGTTAGTTCTGTAGAAATTTTAGACAGCTGCGATAGTTAATTCAGGGCTGCTGATGGTTGTAATGGGAATGATATTTACAGCTGTTCTTCATTTTACACATACAGAAATTCATTTTGGGAATTCACAATTAGCACTTACAAGATTCAGTAGCTGTATCATGTTGGTGGCATATGCAAGCTATCTTTTCTTTCAGCTTAAGAGTCAT